TACTTGATTTCTTATATCTTTCCAATGGCATTTCTCAGTGTAACAACTTGACACCTGAATACACTGGCCTTCTAACAGAGCCTGACCTCACATTTCACAGTTCCCCTCCATTTCTTGGATATTTGTTCCATCAGAAGTGTTTGTTTTCTTTTAACTTGATTTTAAATTTTACCAAACTTAAGAGGTTTAACTCAAAGTTTGCCTCTTCAGGGAAGGCAGTTTTTCCTAGTTGCATTAAATTAAGGTGGTATTTCCAAATTTCTTTTTCTTTTTTTTAAAAATTAATCAATTTATTTTTTCAAATACATTTGTCTCTGCCTACCCCCCCAACCACTTTCCCTTGCCCCCTCCCTCCCTCCCTCCCTCAACTCTTCCCCTTTGGTTTTGTCCATGAGTCCTTGCTATATGTTCCTTGACTTTCCCCTTCCCTTCCTTTTCCCCATCCCCCCTCCCTCCTTCCCTCTTGTCTCTGTTGGTTTCTTTTCCTTTCACTGTTGCTGGTATTATTTTCCTTGTATCTTTGTATTGTTGGTTAGGTTCCACTTATAGGTGAGATCATATGGTATTTGTCTTTTGCCCCCTGGCTTATTTCGCTTAAATTTCTGAAGCATATCCTTGCCTTCAATAATGATCAGTATTAGGGACTGAAATCTAAGAATTAAGAGCACAGATTCTGGAACCACACTGCATGAGTTTGAATCCTAGATCTTCCACTTGCTAGTTTTGTGAATTTGGGCAAGTTATTTAGCCTTTTTGTGACGCATTTTCCTTTCTATAGAATAGGGATACTAGTTAGTTATTTAATTAGGCATACCGTAAAGATTAAATAAGAGCAGTGCTGGCACAAAGTAAAGGCTATATGAGTGTTTGCTACTATTATCAGTTTTCATGGTTATCATTTTTGGCTACCCAAATAAGATTATAAAAATTACTTGAAATTTTGGGTTACATTGAATTTCCTTTATAATATCCAACAGGTTAGGACACTGGTTGCATATAGTAGGCATACCCTAAATCCTTGGAGATTGAGAACCTGTCTGGTTACCCTGGAAATAGAAATTGGTAGATTTTGGTGTGCTTCCAGAATTGTTCTAAAAATATGTGTATTATCCCATTCAATTCTCATAATTACCCCATAAGACAGGTACTATAATTATTGTCATTTTATCAGTGAGGATTCAGAGACATAGGAAAGTTAAGATACTTGCCCAGAATCCACACTATGGGGCAGGATTGGAATGTACTTGTTTAAAAATACAGTGATTTCCAAACTTTAGTAAGTACTGAATGACACAAAGGGATTATTAAAACACAGACAGGGCATCATCCCCGAGTTTCTGATTAAGTGGAGTGGGACAGTGGCCAAGATTTTGCATTACTAACAGGTTTCCAGGTGATGATAAAGTTGCTGGTCTGGGGATACACCTTTGAGAATCACTGCACTGTGTTATGCTCTTTCCTCTATGTTACTCAGCTTAAATAGCACTTGGAAACATGTTTCTAAAGTAAAAGTTGACAAATTCTGTTCCAAAACATGCGGTTACATAACAGGTTTTCCTTAAAAAAAAACAAAACACAACAGTGTAACATTAGAAATTTATGTGAAAACCAAGCTTTAAAGAAAAAGAAAGACTTTCTGACAAAGGCAGTAACTCTACTGTGATACACAGGTTATCACAAACAGCAAATTACACAGGCATTTGACTTGGTGTAAAAATGCTATTTTTTAAACCAAAGACCAATTAACAAATACAGAAAACCAATATAGGGGTTGGCAAAAGTAGGTTTATAGCTGTGAATACACAAAATATTTTATCCTTGCATTATTGTTTATTAATTATTGTATTATATACTTGGACTCCAACTGTAAATGTACTTTTGCCAACCATTGTAAATCTGGAGAGGTATAGAGGTTTACACTGAACTCAGATGAGGGAGGGAACAGAGGTCATTCCCCAGACTCTCTTTTCTTGTTATGCAGGTTCATTAAGTCAGACATGGAAATTTTAACATAATCAGATCATTGACTCCTCAGTAAAATATCTTATATTCCTTCTGAACTCATCGGAACCAGGATCTTCCTGGCTATGGGCACACATCACAGGGAAACCACGTCAGCTGCTTCTGCCCTCAAATGAGATATCCTTACAACACTTTTTTAAATCTTTCATTCCTTCTTCTCCACATTTTATTCAAAAAAGTTATATTTTCACAACCTGATCAAATTGATAAGACTTGCTGACTTGATCCAAACTCAGAGAATCTTGAAGCAGATTTTTCTACCTGAATTTTAGTAAATGTTTACCTTTCCCTACATGTGCCTGGTGCCAACTCATCTTGTAATATTAGGTAACAAGCCCTATTTTTAGCCTTGTTCTGCCCCGAAATATCCATGACCTGGTAAGGTATAGATGTCAAATAGTATAAAATAAATTATGTTAAGCCATTTAACAAATGTGTGCTTCTGGACATTAAAAGAAACAAGAGTTTAGGCCAAAATCATCACCAGAAAATTCCAAAGCGGACATATGGGCAAGTCTTTCAGTATTCTGGGATGCAATTCACCTGGACCTCGGTAAATGATTAATGATCTGCGGATGTGAGAGAAAGCCGAGTAAGAACAAGGGAGAGAACCAGTGGAAAGCAACAGGCAGAAAAATTACAAGAACCTTCACAAGGCTGAACCTACAATTCTCAACAGCTAAAATTGAAAGAATTCATATAAAAGGTATCAGGAAGAATATTCAGAAAGTCAGCACAATTGTAGTGGGGCTAAATTAGCACTAGTCAGATTTCCTTTAGAACTCCTAAAAACAAGCTTTGAAAGTATCTTACTAGTTCCAAGTAATTTAGCTGCTGCACATCAGAAACGAAATACGAGGGGGGGAACCAAAATCCCAGAATTTATTTATAAAAAATTGTGTATTTATTCTTACATGTTTAAACTTCAGTCACCTTCAAAGTATTCTCCATTTGATGCAATACACCTGTCAACACATTTTTTCCTCTGCTCAAATCAGTTTTTGAACTCATCGATTTTGATGCCTTTTAGTCTTTCTGCCATTTTTTTGTTTCACCTCTTCCACATTAGCAAAATGTTTCCCTTTGAGGACTTTTTTCATCCAGGGAAACAAAAAAAAGTCAGTCGGAGTGAGATGAGGCAAGTAGTGAGGGCGGGGACTGGGGGTGCTGGCCATGTTGCCTCAAAAACTGCTGAACACTCAGCACAGTGTAGGCAGGTGTGCTGGCAAATCACTCATCATGAAATAGACAAATGTGTTGAAAGAGTCTTCAAAAAAATTTACTGAAGCCCAGCTCAGTCTCTCACAACAATGTCAGCTGGTGCACTGACACAGATGGGTTCCTAGAACACTCACCTAGCTGGGGAAGCCTGTACTACAAGGGACCTGCCCTGAAAAAGATAATTCTGGCTTTTATTGGATCCTCCCTCTAGATGGCATTTAAAATAAAATAAATAAAAAATTAACAAATCAACAATATAATATTTAAATGTCTGAAATACAATCAAAATTGACCAGTCATGTAAGAAGCAGGAAAATATGACCCAATCAGAAAAAAATCAATAAATATCAAATTAAAAATGAAAAAGATGATGGAACTAGCCAACAAGAATGTTAAAACAGCAGTATAAATATTCTCTATATTTTCAAGATGATTCAGGAAAACATGAGCATGATTAGGAGATAAACTGCAAATGTTAAAAAAAAAGACAAATGAAACTTACAGAGGTGAAAAGCACAATATCTGAAATTTGAGCTGAAAAATAGTCTGGATGAAATTAATTACAGAGTAGATATATAAGGAAAATATCATAAAACTTGAAGACAAAGCAAATGCTATTAATAATGAGATATAGGTAGAAAAAAAGCATAGTAAGTGTTAGAACAGAGCAACAGCATCTTCTGGGATATATCAACTGGCATAATATTGGTGAAATTAGAGTCCTGGTAATACAAGATATGAATGAAGCAGAAAATATTTGAAAAAATAATGACCAAAAATTTCCAGATTTCATGGAAATTATCGATGCATCAGTTTCAAGAGGATTAATTAATTCTAAACAGAGTGAGTCTATATGAAATCACACCAAAGCACATCATTATCAAACTAAGAAAACCAATAATAGAGGTAAAATCTCAAAAGTATTCAGAAACAAAAGAATGAAGACAAGAAAATAGCTGACTTTTGGTCAAAAACATGAAAGCCATAAAGACAGTGGAAAGGTACTGGAAGAGGGGACCAACTGCAAAGGCCAATGAATTCTCTGGGGTCGTAAAAATGTTCAATATCTTGCTTGTTGTGGATTTTACACAGTATTCATATTCATAAACAAAACTGTGAAGTTGATTATATGTGTATTATCTTTTAAAAAGTTGACCATATAAAAGTAAAAGTTGCTAGTCAATTTTGGGGAAATAGCATTAGCATAATATGTGAGATTCAGATTAGAAAAAGAATTTTGAAGAGGAAAATTAATTCGAAAAATTACAAAATACTTTTCTTCATTTACATCTAGTACTGCAATGTTTCAAAGAAAGGAATGAAATCACACATGCTTATAATACATATAACAGACAACAAATTTCTCTTTTAAGAAATTAAAACAAAATCGAGTTGTTGACAAAAAGGAAATAATTTTAAGTAGCAAGCTATGTGATTAGATAACTCATGAGGTGATTCCCAACAAATGTTTTCTATAAATAAGACTCAAGCTAACATCATATTAAAACTGTCACACAATCATGATATGGATCAGAATTATCATTCAAATCTGCATTAGTTCTTACCCATGCAAAAAATTATTTTAGGTTAAAGAATATTTTCAAACTATTCTTATAAAACTATTTTACCTCGAAACTTTTAAATTATATTTATTAACTTTTCCAAAGCAAATTGTATACACAAAATAATTTTCACCAATTTATGTTCTCTGCAACTGTAATAAAATATGTACAAAGTATGCAACAATGTTTGATTACCTCCAGTTTATTTCTTGAAGAAGTGGATTTCCAGTAAGAGTCAATTCACGGAGAGAATAGCATGCATCAAACCACTTCGCAGCACTCGTAAGATCTATAGAAATAAACAATAAGAATCATTATGAAATACTTCAGATAAAGAAAACTAATCATAGATCAATGAGCATTTTATTTAACTATTTAAAAACCAACAAAAATTATTGGTTCTACAGAACAAAATATGCTTTTAAAAGGATATTGTATTAAGAACACAATTTTATGTCAGAATATATATTTCTACCATTTAGCAGTACTGTAAACTTATGCAAATCATGCAATTGATTTATGACTCAGTTTCATACTTATCTCATTGGGTGAGGATTAAATTAAATAATGTGTGTAAAGGGCTCAAAACAGTTTATTCCAGATTATAAACACAAAATAGGAGAAACTGAAATCTGAAACTTTGCAGGCTAGAAGGGATTGTCAAGAAATATTCAAAGTTGTGAAAAGCAAGGACCTACAACCAAGATTACCCTACCCAGCAAAGCTATCACTTAGTATGGAAGTGTTGCTATAGGTAGAAGTTAGAAATGAATGGCTGGAGGGAAAATAAAGCAGGGACCCTGCCATTACAATCTAACAAAGAACTTAAAACTGAAAGGAAAAGAAATCAACAGAGACAAGAGGGAAGTGGGGGCAGGGAAAGGGAAGGGAAGGGGAAAGTCAAGGAACATATAGCAAGGACTCATGGACAAAACCAAAGGGGAAGAGCTGAGGGAGGGAAGGTGGGAGGGGGCAAGGGAAAGAGGTGGGGGGAAGGCAGAGACAAATGTATTTAAAAAGTAAATAAATTAATTAAAAAAAAAAAAAAAGAACTTAAAACATGAGGCTGGAAACAAAAGAAGTCACGTCTCACCAATTAACTCAGTCCCGAGCCTGGTTGGACAAGATTGCCAGGTATTCTGAACATCACAAGCAGGGATAGCGCAGGAGGGGAGTCCTTGAGACTCTGCTGGGAAAGGGGGCCTCTGGAACAATTTCACTAACTAAGAAAAAGAGCCTTTACCTACTGAGAGAGAAAGGCTTTGTAGTTATACTTCATTCCTAAGGTTTAGAAGGGGAAGAGGGAGGAGGATCCTAAAAGCTGACTAAGGTATATAACCCCTGAACCACAACAGTCAGTGTACTGGAGTTAGCCGGGAGACCACTTGTGGCCTCAGCTCAAGTGTAAAGAACAAACTTACTAATAAACTTACTAACTTTATTTCCTCCATACATGGCACAGTCAGACTAGCTGGGTGCCTGCCTGCAGCTCTGTGCTCATATGTGTTTCATATACAAACTCGTTATCTCATTACTACTATATGTGTTACCTGCCACTTGAATACTTCTCTTGTGAACAAGATTAAGAACTGAGGAACAAGCTTGGGGGTTGGGAGTGGGAGCTGACTCGGGTCTCTCAGAAACAGAAGGACAGATGAAGAGCTTCCCAGACCAGAAAAAGCTAAAGGAGTTCATCATCACCAAATCAGTATTATATGGAATGTTAAAGGGTATTGGAGGAGGAGAAGGAGGAGGCGAGAGGAGGGAGAGAGGAGAGAAGAGGAGGAAAAATATAAACAATAAAATATCAATAAATACATCTATCAACAATTGATTCTTAAAAAACAAAATAAACAAGCAAGCAGAACAGAAACAGAATCATAGATACAGAGAATGTTTTAATGGTTGCCAGATGGGAGGGGGATCAAGGGGATGGGTGAAAAAGGTGAAGGGAATTGAGAAGTACAAATTGGTGATTACAGAATAGCCATGGAGATATAAAGTACAGCACAGGAGACAGAGTAACCAAAGAACATATATGCAGGACCCATGGACATGGACAATGGTGTGGGGATTGCCTGAGGGAATGGGGGAGCTGGGTAGAGGGGGCAAAGGGGAAAAACTGGGACAACTATAATAGCATAAACAAGTAATAAAGTAATTTTAAAAAGTAATAAAAAGTCATATGTAGAATTGAAGACATCCTTAAATAGAATTACATGGACCTGTTAAACTTTCAAAGGTAAAAATAGTAGGTTAACCTTAGGTACATTACAGAGTAATTTATATTAGAATTGCTGTCCCACAGAAAACAATCATAAAACTGATCTATACATACAAAGCACTTGTTTTTAAGCCTGACTCTGAGAGAAGGGAAACATACAAGGTGAGCCTATAACCACAGTGGTTTTCTGCCTAAACCAGTTTACAACTTCAGAACAAGAGAGTGGAGGCCAAGCAAAGAGGCTGTTTTGCTGAGTGAGAAGACAAAGAATAGAACTGATGCTGGAATTTATGGTAAAAAAGTACTGAGAATAAGCTTTGCATGTATATGTTGTGGGGAAGGGAGTTGGGAGAAGTCTATGTGAAGATTTACCACAGGTCCTTAGATGAATGCTAGGTGTTACATTGGTGGCACAAGACTGAAAAACCTAGTAGAGATCACCTTCAGTAGCACTAAGAGCTGAACGGTAACACTGAAGTTCATGCAGCCATGAAAGACATTGGAGTTTCAGCCCAGCCAGAATGAGACCTAACTGAGTATCTCAGAGATTCAGCTAAAATATAAAAAAACTCTGCATTAGGAGTGAAGATAATGCCCTGGGGTACAGGCATGTACTCACAGTTGAAAACTGAAATGACTTGTCCTAAGAGAGAATGAAATTAAGACCAACAGAAAAAAAAAATTGTCCATCAATACTTGAACTGCCTGCCAGAATTAAACTTAACACCCTTTAAAAGGAAGACAAAAATATGCAGTCTCAGTAAATAAACTGTAATATGTAAAATGTTCGACATACAGTTAAAAAAAACTAGATATAAAAACAAATAGAAAAATATGACCTATTCTTAAGAGAAGAGGAGTTAATAGGAACATATCCAAAGTACCCAAAGGTCAATCAGTTTTGACAGACACCAAAGTAATTCAATGATGAAAATGCTCTAACAAATGTTGCTGGGACAACTAAACACCTATATGAAAACCTGAACTCATCACCTATTTCATATCATTTATAAAAATTAATCTGAGATAGGACATAAACCCAAAGAGAAAAACTAAAATACAAAACTTCTATAACAAAGCTATAGAGCATGAAAAATAATCTCAATCTGGAGGTAGGGAAATAATACAAAGGACACAGAGAAAAATATTTAAAATGATAAATTTCATCACAATTTAAACCTTCTGCTTATTTACAGATAACATTAATTAAATCAGTATGTTAAGATGGCTGGGAAAAAATATTTACAAAACATATATCTAACAAAAAACTTCACTCAGAATATATCAAAATTTACACAAACCAATAAAAGCAATAACCAAATTTTTTAAAAATTATGACATTTGAATAGACATAAAAATATAGAGAAATTATCAATAAATGCATGCAAAGAAGCACTATCATTCTTCATCAGGAAAATGCAAACTAAAGTGATAATAAAATAACAATGAAATACAAAATACCCTGTAGAGACAAGAAATTGGAACGCTCATACATTGATTGCACGTGGAGCTGTAAAATGCTACACTACTTTGAAAAACAGTTTTTTCAGTTTCTTCTCAAGCTAAACATTTACTTACTCTACTATCCAGCAATTACAGTCTTACACATTTACCCAAGAGAACTGAAGGCATATATCCACAAAAAAATTTGTACAAGAAGTTCCATAGCTCCAAACCACAAGCAATTAAAACAGCAGTCAACAGGAAAATGTACATATTGTGATATATTTTATATTCATACAATGGACTATACCAGCAAAAAAAAACCCCAAAAACTAATGATATAAACAACATAGCAAGATATATGAATGTTCAGCAAAGGAAACTAGAGACAAATGAGAATGTACTGTTTGACCCCATTCATATAAAGATGTATAACAATAAAAATTAACCTATGTTGACAAATTAGAACTGTAGTTGTCTTTAAGAGAGGATTTACGGGAATGGACAAACTTTGGGGGAATTAGTTATCCAAATCAATTAATCATTTTATCATTCTTTAATACACTTTTAATGAGTGTCTACTCTATACCTCTTAGAAGTCAACAAGTTAGACAAGTTTGTTTACTCATCTTCACTAGGCTGCTTACTTCATAGTTAAAAGATACATGAATTTTAAGTAATTATACAAGTGTGACATTTGCCCAGGTGTATCAAAGAAATGGAAGTAATATGATTTTAAAAGTGAAAAAATGTTATTGAATTATTTCGCCATGCCTTTGAATGAGCTCAGAACACACAGCTTCAATATGCCAGAATGGAACTCTAAAAACTGCATATGCAAAGGTACTCTGATCTTCCTTATTTTTCTTTAAAGCAGGAGATGAAATTCCTATGTGAAAGATGCCCTCCCTACACGAGGAGGAAAGAGATATTCTTAACACAAGGACAGACATAGAGGCTAACAGAATGTGTACAAACAAATTGTTAAACTAACCCTTATTTTTTAGTCACTTTTCCATTTAATTAAACTTCTTAACACAAGCACTTTTGCTTTGTCACATTTTCACAATTTCTTTTTCTTGTCCAATTTATTACGTTAGTGTTCAATTCTAATTGCTTCTTGGCATCTTTATTTTTCTTGTGAGAACTCACATACACATGTGAAAAAAAATTAAAACGTGTATTCTTTTTTTTGTTTGTTTGTCTTGTGTCAGTTTCTTAATTCCTCACTAAGAACTTATGAAGGTAGAAGATAAATTTTTCCTCCTCTATACTTTATTAAGTGTCCATATATATACATATATATATATGAGGTCTGTCTGGAAAAAGTCCAACCATTGTTAATGTAATGAGAACAGTTTGTGTGACATTGATGTAACCTGGAAGCCAAGGAGAGTGGACTGGAATGTGCATGCATAAACAATGACAGCTTCACCGCACTAGTCAAGTGGAGGCAGTAGGTTTCATTGAGTGAGTATGTGTACTGTGTGGCCGTCGCATTCAAAATGACTGAACAAGTAGAGCAATGAATCTGCATCAAATTTTGCATTATGCTTGAACATCCTTCTGTGCAAATTATTCAGATGATTTAAAGGTCACAGCTATGCACAACTAATGACTGTCAGCTTCATCATGACAACACACCCACTATGCATCACGTCTCAGGCAGTTTTTTGATAAAATATCAAATCACCCAGGTGACTCAGCCCCACTACAGCCCACATTTGGCACCCTGCCACTTCTGGCTTTTCCCAAAACAAAATCACCTTTGAAAGGGAAGAGATTTCAGACTGTTGATGAGATTCAAGAAAATGCTTCAGGGCAGCTGATGGTGATTGGGAGAACTGTGTGAAGTCTCAAGGTGCCTACTTTGAAGGGAACTGAGGCATCATTGTCCTATTCACCATGTTTCTTGTATCTTGTATCTTCTTCAATAAATGTTTCTATTTTTCATAGTATATGGCTGGTACTTTCTGGACAGACCTTATATTATATATACATTTATAAATATATACTATGATTTGTAAATACCATTAAAACATCTATATAAAACAAATCCTCAATATATTTGAAACGGAAACTCAAAAATTTATTTTTTTTTACATTTTATATTATTCTAAACTTACCAGAAAGACAATTGTTGCTGACATCCAACTTTTTCAGAGAAACAAAATGATAAAGTGGTGTGAATTTTGTCAAGCTAAAAACAAAAAATAGAACTCATGAAAATTTTAAATTGGAATGTCCTTAACATTATTGAATTAACTATATAATTATACATTATATAACACAATTATATAATGATATGTAATTATTTATAACTACATATACAATTGTATTTGTACACTAAAATACAATCATAACATTTATTAACAGTACTTATTAAAATGCAACATTTATACAATTATTAGTATTTATTCTGTAATGGAAAATTTACATTAATTTCTAAAGAGAAATATTATTTAATTGCCAATTTCAATCACAAATATGTACTTTAATGTATATGTGGTATTTAAACAAAAATAAGTGCATATATTGTTATTATTGTTTTGTTTTGTCTTTTTATAAGGCCAATTTTACAAAGAATTTATATTATTTATATTTCTTTTTCTGGATCAAACACATAAAAACCATTACAATGTAAAAATTATAAAAATCTTTATTTTAACTTTTTGACCGATAACTGATTAAAGTCACTAGTTTTGTTTTTAACTTTAAAAATGTTTTGTTTACTAGACTGAAAGTAACAGCATTCTAAGTATCTAAAGTTATACTAGGTTATTTATAAATTAGAAATATGCATCAAAGTATGACAATAATAGAAAATGTTTTATGAGGAGAATACACTTAAGAAATCCATAAATATTTAAAATCAATACTCATTAAATTATATATACAAAATTCTGATAATAATCTTTTCTACTACTTTCAAATGTTTCTATTATTTTCCCAGATAAAATCATCATTAAGAGCCTATATTTAAGCAAGAAACATAAATGATACTCAAAATATTCACATCATTGGGAAAAAAAAAAGCCATGAAGGAAAAATTAACTTTGGTTTAATTTGCATTTTTAAGGCAAATCTAAAATTACTCCAAACATAATATCACATTACTCTAGATATTTGGAAATAAACGTTAAGCCAAATCATCAAATCTTTAAACAACACAAGAATTCTTTCACATGAAATATAGTCTCATCACAAATACAACTGTGTTCTAACTAATTCTCCGTATAAATGTTGGGATTCTATAATTATTCAAAATATGCCTCAATTGAAGAAGTACTTTTGGTACAAAAAATAATATGCATTAATTTCCAGGTTTTTGCTTTTGTAAAAAATACTTTCTCTCCAGTTGGCCTGGCAGATTTCTACATCTTTGTTTCTAATAGCTCCCAGAGATCGAGAAAAAAAAAAAAATACTATTGTTCTATGTTTAGAAGCTTATGCAATAATACTGTGACTGGAGGCCTCATGGATCTGACACAAAACTTTCCCTTGTATTTACCTTGATTTCTCTCTTGTACTATCCTGTTGTATATTAGCAGAAAGACAGAAGATACTACTGATGAAAAACAGACTAAATATTAGGCTGGAAGAAAATCTTTCTGAATGCAGCCAATATTAAATACATAAAGTATTACTATTTATACTAAACCTATACAACACTACTTTTTAAAAACAATTTCCAGGGGGAAAAGATGATAAAAGGTGATAAAATAAAAAGTGAAAAAATATTGGCCATTAGATTTATACATATATTTCATTATTTATACACACAGTCTTTAATAGTAAAATTTACTGAAATGTCCCATGTACACAGAAAAACAAGGAGAAATAAAAAAGATAGTTAAAACTTTGTTAATGTATACATAGTGAATTTAAGCCCTAATATCCTATTCAGGCATGTTCTACAAATAAGAAATTAAAATTATTCAGGTAAAAATATAATTTTAACAAATATTTATTAACAAGAAAATTATTGTTTTCTACCTTTAATATTTTTCTAATATCCTTTGCTCTTCTACTAAAAGGATTTGGAAAGATTGATAATGAGTCTCCTTTTTCAGAGTATATCATATTTTCAACCAAGAAGTTATATAATAACATATAGGAAAAATATATGTTATATGAAGGCATCAAGTAAAAGTAACCAATAAAATTTTAGAATTAAAAACAAAAATCTCCATTTTCAAATATGTATTCAAGCAAAGAAATATTTGTTTTGACCAAATATTTTTATATTATTGAAATTTTATCTTAAAAGATACCCATGTTTTTAGAATTTTTCTTTTTTGGAGGGGAGGGTAATTTTAATTAACAAACTGGCTATTTATTCACCTTTATGATTATTCATTAGGTTGGTAGAAATCTAATACTAGAATCTTTAAATTAAAAAAAAAAAACTTCCAGAACTTTTCTTTTTACTGACATTCTGTGTATATTTTTCCTAAGAAAATTCAAACCAGAAAGACAAAGGACATTAGTGAAAACCTAATACCATTTGACCTTGTCACATTAGCCCTGGGCATAAAAAAGATATAAATTTCAAAGACGACAAAAAGCAAAAGATTTGTACAATGAACAGTCAATGGGTAATAGTTTTCATTTTCTGCTCCTACTTAGAGTCTCACTGTAAGTAGAAAAGCTTGTGAAGCCAGAGTCTTCCAGTTAGAACTCTACTGAGTCAAACTTAAAACATTCACATGTCTTAATGAAAATTTAAAACAGAAGTCAGGATGAAACAAGTATTTCACACAATATTTACTAAGTATCATTCTTTATATGCATTTCATTTGTTGGAAGAAGAGCATATGGACACAATTTCTTCCTTGCAATGAAAATACTTATCAAAAATTAAAAGAAAGATGTATACAATTTTAAAGACACACCAGACACAAATCCAGATATCTTGTTTATAAAATTCTCTTCATGTTTGCAAAATGTATTCACATACATTTTCCCCTTTGGATCAACATTAAAATGCCATAAAATAGGTAAGGTAGGTATTATTATCCTTTTTCACATATGAAAAAAGTGAGGTTTCGGTAGTGAGAAAAGAGTTGTTCAATGTGAACTGACAAGTAAATTTTATATTCATAATTCAAATCTAAATCTGCTGATCCTGAGTTTTACCAAACCTTATACAGTTCTGAAAAAGTCAATGTGAAGCTTAAGGTAAGATGGATAATTTTCACAGTTTATGGTATTATCTTACTGTACTTTAGAAAAATCCTTAGACTGAAAATTACTTTACTATGATTTTAGAAAATAATTTTCCATTCATATCAATCACATTTCCCTGGTTCCCTAGGCCTTCTCCCTTCACCCTTCAGAAATGGTAGACAGTTGTATGAGGGACCCATAAAAACTAAATTCAAATATAAGTAAAAGCATTTTTAAAAAGTTCAAAATAGCATATGTTAATTACATAGTAATTTCATCTCTTTTTAAATATAGTAAGTTCAAAAATTAAACTCTTTATTCAAAGAGTTTTTTGAGGAAACAGATATGTATCACTCAGTTCTGTATCCTCCAAAACAGGAAGCATCACCTCAATATCCAAATGTAGAAGGCTAAACAAATGAAATTATAAATGAATATTTGGTTTAAGTTTCCCAATTATTGTTATCATCTCTAAAAGATATTTTAATAATTTAGTATACATAATTCCTAGTAATATCAGTTTCATAGGGCAAACATTTATTATTAGCCAATATTACTTTTAACTTTTAAAAGTAGAATAGTTCTTCAATGATTTAAATTATTCAATGAAATTAAAGGCCTTATTTCTCAAAAATGTCTTTGATATAAATTTTTCTAATCTTTTAAAATAATATGCTCATCATTGTGACTTGAGAAACATTTCTATGGAGTATGCTAGATATTGCTAGTATTTCTATTAAATTTTTATCTCTTATTGGAAAATGTTGGAAAAAGATCCAGTGCTTATTTAGATGGCCCAAATTACTTAAAAAGTGTTATCTGATAGAGTTGGCTCTGGAATAAATGTCCTTTAAAAGTTAAATCACCCTTCATATTTTAGATCTGATTAAAGCAATTTGAGGGAATTTTTTTTAATATACAGTCAGTTTTGATTTGTCAAATAATGGAATAGTTTGATAGAAATTAAATCATTTGGGACATACATGTACAAAGGATGAACACTGTTACGGCTGAGAGAAAACTTTATTTTGGGGGAAAATAGATACATATATTAACACTGGGCTGTCCTTGTTCACTTGTTTTGCCAAAATTGTATAACTCAAAGAAGAAATTGCTGTTAAAGGTGGTTCCTTTCCCCTACTCCATTAGCCTTTCATAAACAAATTAATCATATTAGAGTGAATAGGTCTCAATGAAATATTAAGCAGAGGGAGGCATACACATATTGTGCTCCTGTTTTGGTTTCAAGGGTTATTCTCAGCAAAGATCCAGATGTTTGGTAGTTTCAAATGGATCTTCTGTGACAGGTACCTATGTCGATTTAATGTTAAGGTATTTTTTTAAGTGTTATTTTATACCCTTAGGGAAATCAAATTTAAATCAATCTTAACAGTTACAAAAAGACATGCAAGTTGAGAGCAGATTAAAAATCATTCTTCCAGGACTTAATAAATACCATTTGAGAGAATGAGACATCCTTCTGAATTAAATTAACTACCTCCTGTATTTTCCAAGGACTATATTCTTTACAAATATAAACAAACCTACCCTGAGAGTACTGTACAAGGATAGTTTTAAAAAGAAACAGAGTGAGTAGGATAAGAAACAAACGTCTACTAAAATACTCAGGGTATTTCAAGGCACTTTAATTTTTTTAACCTATAAAGCTACAAGTTATATACCAATTTATTATGGTGCACTTTCACTGAATTACTGGAAAAAGCTAACAGCTTTTCTACTTATTATGCAGACTGTACATTTAAGTAATAATATACTGAATTTATTGTTTAAATAAAGTTCATTTTTACCTGTTTTGAGACAAAGAGAGGTTTTGTAGTAAAGGCAGCCAATATGAAGAAAATGCTTCCACAACTGAAATGCTGTTATCATCCAAGTACAATTCTCTTAGTAGAACATGATTTTCCAAGGATGGAAGCTATATTTAAATTTGAGTCATTAGCTTATATTAAGCAAAATATTTTTTTGCCATCTAAACAAATTTAAAAATATAAAACCTATCAAAAATAACAACAGATATATTTGGTAAACTGCAAATCATAAAGTACAATGTAATGAGAGTTTTAGTAAAAATAAAATTTTTAAGAATTAACCTCATAATTAGAATTTATTTTTTCCATACAAGGTAGTTCTGATAAATTTTAATTAGAATTGCATGATAGAAAATTTGGTCCCACTTACGTACTAAAATGTAACTTAAATGTTTTAATTTATTATATTTTGGTATTATGAGAAACTGCTCAATTTGATTTCTTCAAAAATATTCTATGGTGAACATTTTTTAAATATAGAAAAGTATGCAACAGTTTAAAATGGACTAAAAATAAGATACAGCTAATAAGCAAAAAAGAACAAAGAAAAATAATCAAAATTGCTTTTAAAATGTGTGGTTGATATTTCCATAAAAAAAAATGTTGCAGTAATCACAGAAATCAATTAAGTTGAAGCAATTACCTCACTTAGATAATTTCCTTGTAGCTTCAGTATCTGAAGCAATCCACAGTTTTCAATACCCTCTAGTTTAGTAAGGTGATTATATGAGCAATCCAGGTAGATAATGGTAGGAGTATCATAAAGGCCTTTTGTACTAATTAACTGGTTATGGTCCACAACTAGTTGCTGAAGATTTTTCAAAGATTCTAAACCACCTGGAAGAAAAAATTTCCAAGATCACTTGTATCATAATTCTTCCAGATTCTAAAGGAGGGTTTCAATTTTTTCTAAATAATTGCACATTTATATTTCCCAGTATTTCTAATTACAAGTGAAGACTTGGGCCAACTTTCTGGTGAAAAACATGTAAGTATAAAATGTATTATTATTTAAACTCCTACTCAGGAGATACATTTCTGAATGGCATATCATACATCAATTGAAAATTAAACAAAATGCTAAAAGACATAACATTGGGCACTGAATGTTTTATTTTCAAATGACAATGGAACAATGAATACATAGAAGGACACTTTTTTATAAAATAATGTTTAACTCAGTTTCAAGGGGTTTTTTAAATTTTTTTATTTATTAAGTATAGTAGATGTATAATCTTATATTGGTCGTATTTGTTTCAGGTATAAAAATAGTTATTTGACACACTTAAATTGAATCCTTTTTCAAGTTGTGATATATAACATTAGAATGCCATTTTGCTTCCATTGAGATATCTACCTTCCAAATAAAGTAGGTACAACTATATTATAGTCAATGAAGCAATGAAACAACCTAAGTGTCCACTGAGAGATAAATGGATAAAGAAAGAGAGACATGTGTACAATGAAATACTACTCAGCCATAAGAAAAATTTAATAATTCCTATTATGAAAACATGGATGGACCTAGAGGGTGGTATGCTGAGTCAGATAAAGAAAGACAAATAACACATGATTTCATTTACCTGTGGAGTCAAGAACCCAAAATAAACAGACAAGACAGAAACAAACTCATATATACAGAGAGCACATTGACGGTCGCCAGATCAGCAAGGGGCTGGGTGGATAAGTGAAAAAAGGTGAAAGGGATTAAGAGTACAAATTGCAAATTACAAAAATAGTCACAGGAACATAAAGCACAGCAAAGGGAATATAGTCAATAATATTATAATAACTATGTATGCTATCAGGTAGGTATGAGACTTAAGTGATCACTTTGAAAGGTATATAAATACCTAATCACTATTCTGTACACCTGAAACTAATATAATATTGTACATCAACTGTAATTGAGAAATAAATTTTAAAAATATAATAAAACTAAAGAAATATTAGCATACTTTCAAGTATTTTAAGATTGTCACAAGTGACCTCCTTTTTGCTCAGATAAACTAAAAATCAATACGATACTTTCTAAAAAAAGTTAGAGGAGGCTTAGACTATAGCTCAGTGATCATAAGAAAAAAAAATTGAGAAGGTTGTTTACATAAGCCAACCATAGTACTGGAAAGAGATGCTAAGAAAGTCTGTAAAAGTTTCATGGAAGAAGTGGTCTGTCATTAAAAAAAGAAAAGCAAGGAAATCCTACTATTTGTGTAACATGGATGGACATTGAAAGCCATATGCTAAGTGCAGTAAGTCAGACAGAGAAAGACAAATACTCTGTATGATCTCACTTATATGTAGAACCTAAAACAAACAAACAAAAAACCTACAACAATCTCATAGAAATAGAGATAATACTTGTGGTTACCAGAAGCAGGTGGTAAGTAATGGGAAATTGGAGGAAGATAATTAAAAGGCACAAATTTCCAAGGTAAATAAGTGCTAGGAATATGATGTACAACATAATGACTGCAGCTAACACTGCTGTAAAGTTATTCAAAGAGTAAATTCTATGAGTTCTGATCACATAGAAATTTTTTTTCTTTTTTTATTGCATCTATATGAGAAGATGCATGTTAGCCGACTCTATTGTAGTATCATTTCACAATATATGTAAAACCATCATGCTGCACACCTTAAACTTACCCAGTGATTCATGTCAATTATTTTTCAGTAAAACTGGAAAATATTTTATGGAAGATATTAAAAATCTACAAAGGACTATTTAGATTGAACAATGGACTATATATGTTCTCTATAGATAATACCTTGTTATAGGAAAAAAACAATTCTAGGAAACTAGAAATATTGTTTAAGGTTTAGAGTAAGTACTGGTAAGAAGACAATATTCAGTGAGTATTGCATGTCTGGGGGGTGACTGAGGATAAACCTTGGAAAATGAAGTTCCAATCTGATTTTCTTGTCAAAGTCACAAAATACTTTCAATTAAATCTTGAAATGGATATGTTTTTCTACCAAAAAAGTTATTTGATAATAAGGTTAAAGATATTCTTAAAAGAAACATAATTACATATAAAAACTAATATCTGGAATGTATATCATCAGTTTATCCTGGAAAAAATTAAAACATTTAACTAAATATTTGTTCTTTTGATTATACAATATACTATGATTTACAGAAAAAAATAGGGCAGAGAGCCTGCTTCCACAAAAAAAATAGAGAAATAAAAAAAAATCAAATAACAGTACCAAAATCTCAAAAGAAAATTTAATTCTATAGCATATTATTAAAATTCAGATAATAGGATTATGAGAGTATTGTAAATTACTGCCTAGAGATATATGTCAAGAAAAATTATATTTCAAAATTGCAGTATCTCTAATAATTTGAGTCCAAGCAATTTAATGGTATGAGTCTTAAAAATATATATTTTTATGTTAAAGGTAAATTTTTATAATGAGAAATAAATTGCATGATATCTTAGAGAAGGAGGAAATTTCATAGAAGACCCAAAGAAGGAAAGGGTAACTAAAATTTAAATTTAGGCAGTAATCTTATATTTTTAATTCCTTATCCAGGGTCGATGTACTGATATTTTCCTGTATTATAAAATAGCAATTGTAACTTACAGAAAATTATCTGATGTCATTCAGGGAGTAAATTTTTGGTCCTATAAGATATCTGACTAAATTGAAATAATAGACCAATTATATATTATCAATTCCAAGGGATTATAATGTATTACATATAATAGTAAATATATATTAGCCACAACATAATTTGAAGTCTAATGAAATAAAAAAAAACACTGGAATATGCCTTAAAATTGTATCTAATGAACATCAATTAATCCACAGAAACAGATAAATGCTTTCCAGGCATAAGGAAACACTAATTAATGTAAACTTGTAGTTGTGTAATTTCAAATGTCCTTAAGCAAGTATCTTAATGTCTTAAGCAAGCTAGTGTCATAAGCACAATATTTTTTTTAATCCTCATCCGAGGATATGTCTATTGACTTAAGAGAAGGAAGAAGGGAGGGAGAGAGAAACATTAATGTAAGAGAGAGATACTGATTAGCTGCCTCCCATAGACACCCCAACTGGGAATGGAACCCACAACCTAGGTATGTGCCCTGATCAGGAATTGAACTCTCAAGCTGTTGGTGTATGAAACAACATTCCAAACCACTGAGCGATCCAGACAGGCCTAAGTATGATATTTTTAAAAGCCATGTACATGGCTCGTAAGTTTTTCAGGGCTAATCAGTAATAAAATTTTCTCATTTCTAAATTAACTCATTTAGAGTGGGTGCTATGTTTGTGAAACTTTTCAAAGTTCACCCAAAAAGAGCAGCAAGAATGAAAATTAGGTTACACACTGAAAAAAGGTGAAAGATTTGGCATAAGAAGCCGGAAGGAAACAACAGGTAAAGCGGGGGAACAACTGGAAAAAGAACAGAGAAAAAGGCAAACTGAACACTGTGTGGATGATAGTCATTATTACAAATAAAATAAAACTATATAACTTACAATTATCAAAGGCATTTTTATTTACATTAAATTATATATCATCAACAGTGTAAGTGTGGGCAAAACAGTGTGAAGAGGCCACTGTTTTGGCAATGATGAAGCAGCTTTTGCCAGAGGCGTCAAGGGAATAATCCCTTACAGGGATGTCCAATCTTTTGGCCTCTCTGGGCCACACTGAAGGGTTGTCTTGGGCCACGTATTAAATACACAAACACTGATGAAAACTGATGAGCAAAAAAAAGACCCGTGCATAATTTTCGTGATATCTACCACCACAGATAAGCAAAAAAGTCCTCATATAATAACCTTAATTAATATTATGCAGTGGCCCTTTCTATAATCTTGTAAAATTGTTGAGCAAGTCCCAAGTTTGTGATCACTAATATAGAAAATGAACATATCTAAGTAATAAAATGTCATCGTGCATATGTTTATTTTACGTGACATTGCAACATGTAATCACAAAAAAATCTCGTAATGTTTTAAGTAAATTTACGATTTTGTTTGGGCTGCATTTGTAGCCATCCTGGGCCACATGCGGCCTGTGGGCCGCGGGTCGGACACCCTTACTTTATAAGATAGTACGGTGAAAGTGGAGACAATGAGTGTAGATTACTTTTAGATATTCAGTAATGGAGAGACGTCCCTCAAAGTCCTTAAAATGGCCCACAAATCCTTATCTCTGAATTCATCCACTACTACTGTCCCCTCCTCTTGGGACAAACTAACATGAAGAGGTTCAAACTAACATGTTGACCTCCTTGCTGTTCCTCAAACATGCTACACATGCTACACAACCTTAGTGTTGTGTGTATATGTAAGAAACAATTATCAGTATAACATGTTTGGCTAGGAAGATAAAATAAACCTTATCAGCCAATTTCAATTATTAAGACAATACAATTTTCAATCAATATAGAGAGAATGTATAAATAATCTATTCTAAAAACTGTTAGAGATTCCAATCTGGTGAATTACCATGATTTTGAGCTTCAGATACAAAATTATATTTGACTGAGCATTCCTACTTCTAGGAATCCATTATACAGAAATACACACAAAACTATAAAATGATATATAGAGGGATTCTTTGCCATGTTATATAAAAACAAAGAAAGGGAGATAAGTTAAATGTCTATCTGTAAAGAAATAGTTAAATAAATTATGGAGAATTTATAAAATGAATATATATAATCTGCAATACAAAGTATTCTGACACAGAAGAATTTCTATATTACTGTGTGTAAAACCTCAGTTACATACATAGACTTTTAATGCATGAGTTTACCTGAATCTAAATCTATACATCTATAATTTTGTATCACATAGGACAAGATCTT